TGTCTCTATATTACATTTCTATACACGCTGCCATTCAGCTTATAAAAGTGAGTCAATGATTCATATATTTGGGTCCTTTAAATTATTCTCTAAATGCTATCGGTATGTAATTCGTGATGATTTGATTAATTTCTGCAAGTCGACCTCTACTAATTGATAAAGAAACGAGCAAAACTGGACGAATGCAAGCGAAAGGTCGACTTGTCTCTCTAGCATGCAAGTTTTTCGTTCGAGTTTCGCGCCAAAACTGTGGGGAAAATGTGGCTATTAATAGGGAGCTTTAGATTTGACTACGAGTACGACTACGAGTACGAGATTCGTCAAGCTAAACGCATGCTGTATGCTTGCGCCATCTCGCACTGACGCGAGAAAGTCGTAGCCGTCGCCCATCTGAGTACGAAACCGTGGAGAAATCTCGTAGTCCTCACGACGACTTTAAAAAAAAAAACAAGAAAGTTGACTTTTTTTTGTTTTCCAAAAATAATTTGTGGCATTTATATAGCGTTTATCCGGCGCAAATAATATATTAGTACTACATATCTGGCCTGTTTTTAATGTTATGACGTATTTACACGTTTTCTAGGCGATTTTAGTCTGCAGGAGATTTAGTTTATGAAACTTTTTCTCACGTTGTTGGTTTACTGCTATAAAAGCAACATTTGAATGGAAACGAAAACGACTACGGTAATTTCCTAGCACGCGATCAAATCTCGTACTCGTAGTCGTACTCGTAGTCAAATCTAAAGCTCCCTAATAACAGGCTGGTGCAGAATTTGTGCTACTTTTAGTTTTTAATTAGACATTTCGGAAGTCTATTTGTCACTGTGAAGTGACCAAGTGCAACGCTTTGATTGAGATGCTTTTTATAACGTTCCCTCTGGTTGGTTGAAGAGATAATCAACCCTTATCAACGACAATCTTGCGAGTACATATTATATATAGATCAGTTTTGCCGGTTCGTTTTTGGGGCGGTACATTTCTGCGGGCTGCAAGTTGGAAAAGTCCTCCGTCTCACTTCGTCTTAACTCTTAAGGCCGTTTTCCACTTCGCCCGTATCGTATCGTACCGTAACGTACCGGTGAGCATGCCCAGCATGAAGATGAGCTTTCAAATTTACGTACTCCCCGTTGATTCGTATTTCAACTTTTTGCGTACTCGACGTGAAACTTCAAAGAGATCGTTGTCCCTTCGTAAATAGTTGCGTCCGCAAGTGTCGTAGTATTTCGCAAACTACTTTCTTGAAATTCCTTCGTAGGCTTACATGGTTGCAAAAGCCGCGAGTCACACAAAACTGATTTCGAAATTTGCATAGTTCTAGAAGACAGTTCTCGGTAAAAGCTAAGCGTCGGAAGATTCGTTTGAACTATTCTGCTTTAGCTTTGCCTTCGTCTTTCGAAGTAAAGCGAAGGGGGTTATGTTACAACTTTGATCGTGATTGTATCGACAATGTGAAGAATATGGCGGCACACGTTTAGGACAGTGATGTAGACGAAATGGAGAAAGATCTGGCAGAAATGAAAGCCAAGCAACACGAAATTTTGACGTGCGTGCAACGATTGACGATTGCGGTTGAAAGCCTTCAAATGTCGGTAAACTCCAAGAGTATTGATATTGCTGTCATCGGAGGTTTAAATTTTAAAACAAATCAGTATCTTTCTTCTGTCGAGCGATTTAACTTGTTCAACCAAACCTGGACCCAACTGCCTCGGTTGAAAATAGCTCGATACGCTTCTGCAGCTGTGATGTTTGAGAATCAAGTGTTTGTTTGTGGCGGGGGCGCCGGCAACGACCCTGATACGCCTCTAGATCCTCTGGATAGCGTAGAAGTATTGGATCTGAATGATAATCCTCCAGAATGGCACGAGTTTTCTGTCAATATTCCGATCAAGGTCACTGGTCACACGTGCGTCGTCCATGGGAATCGTTTGCTGATTATTGGTGGCCAAATGAAGTCAGGTGAGATATCGGATACGATATACGAGCTTCTCCTTGTTCCACCATATTCATCCAAGTTGCTTTGTCACATGAAGAAGAAACGAGCGTACCATGGCGTGGAGTTGTTCGATGATAAGGTTTTAATCGCTGGTGGAGATGGAGCGGAAACCGATGTGGAAATATTCGACATAGCAAGAAATGAATGTGTTGAAATGTCACCACTGCCATCTCCTCTTTCGTCTATGGGCACAGTTCGGCGTGGCGACACCATGCTTTTGATTGGAGGCATGAAGAATAACGAAACCAGCAATAAGATTATCGAGTACGATTTCAAAACTGGCCAGAGCAGGATCCTATTGACCATGAAAACGGGACGTGCTTATTGTTCGTGTTTTTGTCGTGGAAACACGCTTAGTTCATGTAATTGGTGGTGTGGAGGACGACCTAGCTGCAGTGGATTGTTTCAACTTTTCAT